GATGGTTCCATCAGAATAGACCATAACATGCATGGGCAGTGATAAGCAGAGACAAAAAAAAAAAAAAAAAAAAAAAAAAAATTTCGCGGCCCTCGTGATCATGATTCATGACCACGTGAATTTTTGGTTTAATTAGACGTTGATTAAACTAAGAGGGTTAATGCCAAGGTAAGCCCGTAAACGTTTAATTAGTTTATAACGATATGGTCCCCGGTCTAATTTTATAGAGTAAAATCTCTCACAATTGATTTTTTATAGAAATAGTCCCCCAATATATTATGTCCGTTTAATTTTTGATGAAATTGTGTCATGTACGTGCGCACACGCGACCTATCAATTCTTAAAAGACATAAAATAATAAAATATCAATTATTTTCTTTTCTTTTTGAGTATTGGAATTAAAAGAAAAAACGACCATGGTGGTCGAGGGCATTGAGTATCGTGGGAAAGCAGGGTGGATCATAGGAGGCGTGAACTCACAGGATGTTGCCGGAGGAAGATTTATTCTCTTCTCATCATCATCACTTTTCATAATATATAGATTGGACTGCTATATATTGCTATTAAAACCGTGGGGGATTTTTATCTAATAAGATCGGGACTAAATTGTCACAAACCTAAAAGTTTAAGGATCTGTCCCATATGTGTGTACAAATATTATATATATTTATATATATATATGTGTGTGTGTGTGTGTGTGTGTGTAAGCGAGTGATGATTGTCACAAACTTAAAAGTTTAAGGATTTGTCCTAGCATGTATATAATATTTGTCGGTTAATAATAGTCTATGTCCTTCTCTTAATAACGAGCGCTTTGTTTGCATATATATAGGACCTTGTTCGTTGCCATTTCTTGTGAAATGTAAGTACAAAGAAGATTAAAGTGATTATGTGTACACCTGTTTACAGCGAGAAATCTAATTCGTATTGTGTTTAAATTATAAAGGACCGATCGAATCAATATATATAATTTTCACGAAATGTGTGTAGACTGAAGATATAAAAGCAAAGCGCCAAAAACTCCTTGCTGGTACGGTTTTGTAATCCAAATGCTAAGGACGTATTACCAAATACACATATAATCCCCACGTTGTTTATCAATATATTAAAGTAATAATCACCTTGGCCGCCATGATTAATTAGGTTTGAAGCATCATCAGTTTCTTTAATTAGTTATTACTGTGATCTTTTCAGGATTATACAAGTGTTTTTTCTCTTTTATTTTTAAATTGTGAAAATTTAAACCAATTCTACAACTATAGATTAGGACGTTGCTACATGATGCGTATATATGACGAAAAAACTCAAATATATATACGCATATAATCAACAACACAAGGTATGTATTGTTAGCCAAAGAAACATCTACATACGTTTGGTTCTACAATATTTCCTATATATATATATATATATATACTCATATGAACTGAATCATGTACAGGGGAGGAGTTGTTCAATTAATTATAACTTTGATAGTCAAATAAACTATCATTTATTCGTGTAAAAGCATTTATATGATTTTGGTGAGGACAAAGGTAAAGGAAGAAACATAATAATTAAAGGAAATGGGACATCATTCATTTGAATATTCGCCTAAATCGAACAAAATCAAGGCCGTGCGATTAATTATGCCACTAGTTGCGTTGTTAAGGATAGTGACAAATATATTGCTGGTATTATCTTAAGATTTAAGCCTATAATTTTATGTTTTGGGCATCTATTAATAGTCATTGTTGCTCCTTTTGTATGACATAATTGTACCTATGCATCTCAACATCTACATTAACAATAAAAGATGCTTTTTTAGCACATGGCGTTATTATATAGCTTAGAAGCATGGGAGACAGATGTGAGTGGAGAAATGAGGTTACGTGGACCGTGGTAATTAAAATATATTTTAATTGCCGACTTAATATATTGCACTAGTTTCACTCATATAGCTTTCTTTTAAACAATATATACTTTTGCTCCTTCGCTTGTCTAAAAGCTCAAGTCCAAAAAGCTAAAGATCGAATTCTGAGGAAATAAAAGCCTTAAGACCGAATATGATTGTTATATATATACACATATGATTGTTATATTTTTCTTCAATTTGGTGATTTCTTTATTTTATATAAATTTAATAAACTTAGTTTTCAAGAACTTCAAAAAAACGAAAAGAAAATTCCTAAACTTATCTTTAAGAGTGTATGGATTTTATTTTTTTACCCATTATAATATTGAGAATGGTGGCTTCGAAGTATGAGATGTAATATGATATTTATTATTTATTTAATAAAAGAGTTTATTCATTATTTTATGTGCATATATTATTGAATATTTTATGAATACCACTAAAATTTTTATGATTATTTATGTGACCTTAAATAGTATATATAAGTGTTATATGTGAGATGATGATATTTAAAGATAATAATTAAAACGATGTTCGTAATGAATTTAATTAAAGTTCAGAATATTTAATTAAAACATTATTAATACATGTTATTCCAATTTAGAATCGAATGGTGTTATCCGCACCGTTAATATAACGAGATATTGAATGAGTGTATTACACATAATGAGATTGTGTGGAACAGAAACACATATACAATATGAATTTTTGATAATTTCCGTTAAGTATAGAAATTCTAATTGTGTCCAAACCAAGTAAAAGTAGGAGATAATTGTCAAGCTTTATCTTGAAGATAAAGTTTAGACTTATTCTGGGAGTCTGACTATTACTCTATAAATAGGAGATTACAAAAAATTGGAGAACACAATTTTTGCTCTTTGTAGCATAGGTGGCCGAATTTTATAGAGTGAGAAAAGGAAAAAATTTTTCCTAAATTTCACGTCGTGCATGTGTTGGTGTTCGTAGAAAACTTGAGTGTTTTTTTACTAATCAAGTTTTGTTTCAAGTGTGTCCACACACACATTTTGACAGATTCAAGGAATTAATGAAGAAGATTTGGGTATTCTAAACAAGCTTGGAGCGATGAACGTTCGTGGTCAAAGAACTCAAGTTATCGACATAATCGTTCATTAGGTAAATAAATTAATTTGATTAATTTATTCATGCATAAATTAATATAATCTATAGAGTATCTCAAAGTTTCATGAAAACTTTTTTTACACACGATCCGCTAGATACACGCTTCCGTATTGAAAATCGTTTTCAAAACTAACGTACTCTTGATTAATACCCTTTTGATTAATATACTTATTTGACTAAAATGATACTTACTAAGAGTAGGGAGTAAAAAACTAGACTTATACACTCTAAAATTAAGAATGTATTTGTCTCCTTTCCCGATTTACTTCCCTAAAATAACCAAATCAGTTTTAGAGAATCATTATCAAAGGCTCGACTTCAGGTATACACCAAGTGACCATACTTAATTACGAAGTTAAAATATGTTTCTAACTAACAATTGTGCTTTTGCTTCAGCTCAGACACAGGAAAAACTATTTGGTAGTAGCTACACATACACTTTAATAAGTAGACAAAATCCAGTTCAATTATTACTATAATCTTACAGTGAATCTTTCCAAACTTAACAGCGTGCGTCTTATACACACCTTTATTAAGATATAGACAAATTCAAGTTTTTTTTTTTTCTTTGCATTTTGCATTTTGTTTTCCACGTACACAAATATACATATATCATTCTCTTTAATTATTTAGAAGTTAATAAAGTAAAGTCTTTGTGGGAAGAGTATCTGGAGTACTAGTAGCATGCACTACCAAATTTTAAATTGCTAACTAAACAAAAATAAGCAAGAATAAAATAGAAATAGTATCAATAAGACTAGAATTTAAAAAATAAGAGAGACAAAGGAAAACTATAGTCTTAGAGCATCTCCATTACAAATGTAATTTAAAGTGTAAGAGCATCTTCAATACAATGTTATAATTAATGTGCCAATTATAAAATTAGCATTTAAGTGCAAAACTTTGCAATGCAATGCCATTTATTGTGTCAAATTTCTCATATAATATACTTTATGACAAATTTTTTACCAAGTATAGCATATGAAAAATTTGACATCTGATTGCTATTGGTTGAAATGTTTACGTTTTCATGTAATCAATGCAACTTTTACATTTTCTAATTATTTTAAACACAAAAGTTTACTTTTACAACTTTTAAAGCTTAATAATTATAGGAAAAAATAGATTTAGCATTTCAAATAACATTATGCATTGGAGTAAAAATGAAAATAACATACCACATCACACTTTTTGATGATAAATATACAATTAGCATTAACATTTGTATCAGAATGATCTAAATAATAGTACTTTTCAAAGCCATGCTATTTGTTATGTTAAATTTGTCATATACTATACTTTGTGATAAATTTCCTACCAAATATAGCATATGATAAATTTGACATCTTATTAATATTAATTGATATGTTTACATTTTAATATAATCATTCCAACTTTTATATTTTTAAATTATTTTGAAAAAAATACTTTAATATATTTTAAAGCTTAATGATTATAGAAAAAAAAAATTTAGCATTTCAAATAGCATTATGAGTATAAATAAAAATAACATATCTTATTATAAATTTTAGTCTCAATGTAGAATTAACATTAACATTTGCATTGGAAATGGTCTTATTAAAGATCATATTCTCTATCATATCAACAAAAAGAAATAGACATATCCGTACAATTATTGTCATATGTACATACATGATACATATTAATCTTTGAAAGGTGGACAATTGTACTATCTACTTCTTTCTTTTTTGCTAAAAGTTGTGTAATTGATGAGAGGATCTTCCAAAACTTCTTACACGACAGTATGCATATGTGTCTCTTTCACTCGAAACAAACACCAACTTTTCCGATAGATTTCAATTTGTTAAGATGCAAAAAAAAAAAAAAAAAAGGTTTATTCCACTCAGAAAGGTAAAGAAATTAAGAAGCATGAGCTCTATGATGATCAGCCACTTCACAAAGTACATACATTACATATGTTAATAAAAAAGGAAAATTTCTTGTGATTAATTAGGAAATTACAAAAAAAAAACTACCTTATGATTCTTGTTTTTTCTTTTGTGTGAAGAAAAACTATTCTATGATTGGCCGTGTACAAATTATTGCCATGCTTATTTCGCAAGCTAATTGTAAATCTCACGGGAAAAAACTTAAAAGAAAAAGGGGAAACAAAAAGAAAAAGGAAAGAGAGACCCAGTTGGAACTCGGTATTTTTAACCCAGGGTGGAAGTTGGAACCGAGTCGACTCGGATTCAAATACAAAAACCAACAATATGTCTCATCTTCTTCGTGCGGAAAGAAGGAAAACACCAAAAAAAACTAAAACAAACAAAAACAAAAACAAAAAACAAAATGCACTGAAGATCAAAGTAAATAAGTAATATACAACATTAATAGTAACTCATTTAACTACCACATAGACCAAACTCTCATCCACAAACACGAAACAACAAAAACTCTCTGTCTTTCTGTCTCTCACTAATATAATACTATTTTAACTTACTCCTACAAATACGTATAGATATATTGTGAAGCGATAACTGTATCATACGAAACGCAATCTCTCTATACCTGTCCAATTGAACGACTCGATTGATCACTATCACAAAAATCACAAATTATGATTATTGATCAGACGGTGGAGAGAAGATGAAAACCATCAGGGGACGGACTTCTCGGCGTAACTGTTGACGAGTGCGAGCGCATTGCTGGTGTGCTTCTTAACCTCCGTCGCCCGGTCACAGACCTCTTTCTTCAACGGCCCGTCGGCGACATCCTGAAAGCCGTCCGTACAGGTCTCCTGGTCGGTGAGGGCGGCGCTCATCCACGTCTGGACGTTGCTCATCTGGAACCGGAAAGACTCCCCGCCGCCGGCTCCAGTGCCTCCGACGTTGAGGTGGCGCATCTGGCGGAGCGAGCCGCGGATCTCGTCGACGGCGTCGCCGAAGTTGGAGAAGCAGTCGTGGAGGGCTGCGGCGGCCCGGGGGTTGGCACCGTAGTCGGCTTGGCGGGAGACGTTCGACACGTAGGCAGCCACGTGTTTTACCTTGGCTAGGCTGACGGAGATGGCCACGCGCGCCAGCTGCTCCGGGTTCCGCTGCACCGCCGCCGCGTAGCGGGAGAGGGCGGTGAAGCACACGTCCGGGTATAGGGTGGTTACGCAGCTCGTGCGGATGAAATCTGTGCCGTTGGTGCTGGAGCCCGGGTCGGCGTATCCTACGGCTGGGATTGGCTTGAGGACGGAGAAGATTATCAAGAAGAGTAATGTGTAGAAGAAGTGAAGAGAAGTTGGGAGTTTGGTTTTTTCCATTTGCGCTTTGTTTTGTTTTGTTTTGGGCTTTTTTTTAGTCTCTCTTTTTGTGAGGCTTTTATCGGAATTGCGTTGTTGGAAGTTAGTACTGTTTTTTGGTTTGTGGGGTTTAAGTAGGCGCGGGTGTTTCGGTTTAATTACTTCTTTGTCCTTGCTTTTTGTGCATTATTACGAGGGCGCTCTGGTCGTGTGTTCCGATTTTTGTATATTTTAATAGCGTTGTTCATGTACGGAGTGATATTATATAATTAATAAAAGAAAAAGAAATGATTAAAAATGGATTTATTGTATTTTTTGAATTCTCTTTTTTCTTTTTTCGTGCTGTAAACGACAAATGGGAGTATGTCATCTAAGACCTCGTTCGTTTCGCTGATTCGAACTTAGAATTTGAATTTTATTACAGTAAAAAGTTCTCACAAATAATCACATCTAACTTTTTTACTACAGTAAAAAGCTCTCACATACAATCACTTCTCAACTCAAATTTTAAACTCAAATCATCGAAACGAACGAAGCCTTAATTGTGTAAACATGTTATAAAGTATGGTGGTGTAACGACTAGATGATTTACCAAGCTTTCATTTTTATTATTTGCAAGGATTCTGAACGCGAGTTGAAAACACATTAGCTAGATTCCTCTTCATTCAATTTGTGGTCCTGAAAGATTGCCCCGTTGATTTGAGAGTGTGAGAATACTATTGATTCTCTTTTTTTATCAGAAAAAAAAAAAATCGGTAAAAATATGACCCCTCAAATTAACTCATCTCTACTACTACAATTGTTTAGCTCGTAATTATTTCCTTCATGTAAGAGTGACCTGTGGCTTTCTAACAAAACAAATAAAATAAAAATAAAAAGAGTAACATGAAATATTATGCCATCCCAATTATCTATTAAAGTTGTCATGTTGCTATAAAAAGTAAACTTACGAGAGCAATAAATAATTAGTTCATTTAATATTTTCTCACCCCGAATTGGTGTTTGGAGCACTCTATTTTAAATGAATCTTAAATGACGTAAGAGCATCTTTTATTTTTGCTATTGAGTAGGCCATAACACTAATCACAATACTTAATCTAATCTACATAATTTTTTCTTGTTTATTTATATCTGCCATATGATATTCTCCAGATTATTTGATGAGTAACAAAGGCATCGTTCACTTTACCGATTCGAGTTTTCAGTTTTAGGTTTCTACAGTAAAAAGCTCTCAGAAAATATCACATCTAACTTTTTCTGCTACAGTAAAAAGCTCTCAGAAAATGTCACATCTCAGCTCGAATTGAAAACTCGAATCCGCGAAGTGAACGAGACCAAAATATCTTTTTTCACTGTTATCATTTTTTTCTCCATAATGCTTGAAAAAAAATCAAACATAAAAATTTTAGAAAATATTTAGTATGAAAATTCATGCCATATTTTAAATTATAATTTATGACTCATAATAATATTTTTTCTTATAAAAAATATATAAAAATTAAAAATAATTCTAAATTATAATTTTAAATTCGTAAACCCTAAAATGAACGGTGACGGGTATGACTTGATTAGGAGCGTGTAATATGGGAAAGCAAAGTGGAGCATGGCTGCCCATTTCACGTCTGCTTTTGAATTGCCGCTCACAGTTCATGGACCCACATATAGTCAACGGTTCAGACGTTGGCCATCGAATATAGTCAACGGCTGTTATCATAACATTACAATTTGTAAGCGAGAGATTGGCCACTACTGGTGTTTGGCCGCTTGCGGGGCACGTACGGAAGGTATCGGCATTAAAGCAATAGATAACGTACACGGGTAAATATATAATATCATTGCTTAAATAGACTAATCCCAATTATAAGAGATTAAGATCAGGTACTTTTTTTTTTTTTTGCTTGATTAATTAAGATTGGAGTAAGGAGACGAATAATCTCTTAGATTTAGAGCATATAAATCTAGATTTTTACTCTTATTCTTAATTAATATTTTTTAATTAAATAATTATATTAGTTAAAAGTATATTAATTAAATATAAAGGATGAAATATCAAGACTTATGCATTCTTAAAGATAAATTCAGTAATTCTCTAATTAAGATTAGTAATCTTGTCTACGCGACATTATGGATCTCAAACGCTGTAGTAAAATAATATGTATGATTGGGAAAGAAAATTAGAATTAGAATGCTACAAAATTAACCACATTTCAATATATATATATATATATATACTATTTTTTTTTTAACCAAATAACAATATTACGTTGTTGATGTGGAAAAGGGTTTGGTTGTGTTTAGTAAGAGAGAAGTAAAATAAAAAGGAAAGAAAAATATATAACGTAGATGAGTAGCTAAGGAAAATGGAGATGGAGGAGATGAAATTTTGTTTGGAATGGATTTATTTATCAAGAATGGCAGAGCCACAATTTTTTTCTCGTAAGGCAAGGCACTATGGAAAAATTAGAGATAGTATTTTATTGAATGATAGAGTTATATATTAATACTTGGAATTATTTTTTCTCACAACAACATATTTCAATTATTCAGCGTGTACACGGTTAGCATTTAGAGAATTTCTAAAAAGAAGATAACCAAATTTCAAAAATCGAGTTGGGACATGTATCCTTACTTGATTTCATGTGGCTGCTCCCAATCACTAGTATGAAGAAATCAAAATTAAATAGAAGGATTTTCAATCTCTTAACCAATACATTTTCTTCTCTAATATAAGTCGTAAAACCCACCATCTACTGATCCTCCACCATCCCCTACGCTCCTAATAATTTACATTACTAGTATAGTTTTTTATGAAAGAAAAAAGTTTGGGGAGCGGACGATCAGCGTTGGCATACCCTTTAAATAGTATCAAAGAGGCTTCCCGACGTTGACAGGAATGCTAGGCAGGTTTTTTTTTTTTTTTTTTTTTTTTTTTTTTTTTTTTTTT